TGCAAAGAATAGCAGCTATTCACTCCCAAGGGCAGCAGCAAATGGGTCACTCTGTCAAAGAACACTGTTCAAAGTCTTCCACAGACACAAGAAGGTAGCATTTAACTCTTCAGAACAATGCAGTAATGTTCATCTTCCACCCCATATCACAAAGCAAGCAATTAAGTCCTCACTAGCTGGTGTTTCTAAATGGGTTTCAACTCTGAAATCACACATAGAATGTTTTCCTTGAAGTTCCCAGGAGTGTCTTACTTCAACATTTTTGAACCAGCTGAGGTGGGTTCAGTTTCCAGCTTGCATAACAGTTAATTTTCTCTTTTTCTATACAAGTTCTACACCCAGCTACTGTCACAACGCATGGGAATGATTCATGATGATCGGCCCCATGTGGACTCCTGCTATAGGCAACCAAGGCAGGAAAAAAAAACCCACAACACAAAACCACAACAACAAAAATACCCCACATTTCCCTTTCTTTAGAACGTTATTGTTGCAACTCGCCTTTAGTGAAAGAAAAGACAAAAGCCAAACCACAATGGAAGGTGTAATTCCACAGGGATTCTAATGAAACCCAAAATAAACACGAGCTATTGTTATTTTAGTGTTAAAACTAGCAAGTTCATATAACAAATCCATGTAGCAAGCCACTGGAGGGAAAGTTATTAAAAAAAGAAAAGCTGCTTATGTTAATTAAACAAAGAAAATCTTCCTGGCAGACATGAACAGCTTTGAATTAAATGCATTTAAAATATGTATCTATTTCTCAGTGTTCCCAAGAGCACTCAAACACAGCTAGCATGTGTGCTCATCCATTCAGTCTTAAGGATTAAAGGAATTGACAGTCACGTTGACTAAGTCCAGTGAAGATACAGTGGTCTTTAAAAACAAAAGCCCATGCGTGTCCACCAGGTTTTGTGAATGAAGCTCTGGAAGTAAAGAAAAGAGACCTTACCTCTGCTCCCTTTGAAAGGCAGGATACAGCACAAATTAAAAACCTATTAGGCTTCAGAGAATCCCTTTGTTCTGCAAAACCCGAAATAGCAAAAAACGTTCTGCCAGAGCTTTTCGTGAGGCATCAAAAGCCAATGACGAGACAGCCCATCCATTAGAAACCAGGCTCCATCAGTACTGCTGCTCACTCCTTACTGTCAGGTGAGGAAGACATAATCAGCAGCTGTTTTACCCCTCACTCCCACAAACTCTTTTAACAACATGATCCCTGTGTTCCAGAAACCTGTTGAGAGAAATTAGGCTATGCCAATATTCAGGTTTTCATTAATTTCATTTCTTCTCAGACCTGAGTGGGTAACCAGTAGACTTAGAGTGAATCCCACATCCTTTCAAGAATTTATTCTACTTCCTCGTGTATTTTCCCCCTTTTTAAACATTTTTAGAAAAGCCTTCACTAATGACACATTAACCCCTGTATTTGCCATTTGCACACATTTAAAGAACAACTGCGGCATATTTCATGGCAGACATACTGAGAACAGTTACATAGCTATTTTTATGTACTTTCCATCGTAGATATACAACATTATGAGATACTTAAAAACCATCACAACCTCCACCTCTCCCCACACACACCCCCCCAGCCCCAGGTCAGATATAACATGAGTAGAGACTGTAAGATTTTTAAGTGTATTGTCTGCTATTGAATTCAAGAATTTCCAACTCTTAACTATAATATTTTCACAGAATGCTTTTATTGATCTGAAATTATAAAATTAAGATGGCTGTTTCCAAGTCACAGTTTGCTGTTTTTTCTTTTTTCATTTTAGAGCAAGGATTTCCAGTGTAATCACACAGAATGAAAAACTTGATGACCAGTGGTATTCAGCAATCTCTTACAACATCCTGTTGAGGCAACGTGAATTTCCATTTAGGTGTTGCTGATTGATTACACTACAAAGAATAGCACAAATACGATAATAAAATCGTGATAATCAACCTGGATGAAAACATAGCAAGCATGGTGCAGGATAGCCACAGACACCCAGTTCTTCTTCATGAAAGGAGTTGTGATAAATGTACTTTCACATGTTGTGCATGCTTCTACTTCACTACTGATGAGTGCTAAAAGGTGGTGAGTTTGTTTTAAATACATATAGTTATCATTTTGATTGGTTTCTACTTTAAAGATAGATATTAATTACTGTGCTGAATAATGTATTCATTACTACAAACCTCATGAGCAAATTGCTTGATTCTTGTCTAGTGAGTATGAAAATTGTTTCCCTTCTTTTGACAAGAGGAACCAGAGACATGTAAGGTATTAAGACTTTCTTTAAGAGTTTCTTTATTTGTAATCAGAACTGCATCACATCTGTAATAATTTCTGTAGTCTGCATTTTCTCCAGAAAATATGATCTGTCAGGGAAGATCCCCAAAATACCTGCTTTCTCCATGTAGTAAGCATATAGCAATCCAAGGGCAAGGGTTGTTTTTTTTTTGGTGCAGTTCTCTCACATGCGGTACAGATCGTAACTACATATCCTGGATGCAAGTGGTGTGTAGTATCTCCCTTTGTCAACAGGAGATACTAAATGCATGCCTTAATTAAGGGATATATACTATAGATAGGAGAAGCCTTATTTGGCTTAGTGAAAACTACCATTTAAGTTACAGTATTTGTTTTTTCTCGATAGGAGCCCATAAAAATCTTCCTCAAGGCACTGTTAGCCTTCCTACAATTCTTACCTTTCCAAGATAGTAGACTTCTGACAGCACTGAGAATGATGGGCATGATTTAACGGTTGAGAAACAGTGTGTCTAAAAGGGCTACAACAGTAAAGGGCTGTTGTAGAAGAGCGTAAGAGGAGGAGGAGTGAAATAGGCTCATATGAAACAGTGGCAAAAACTGGCTTTTGAAATTCTTGTTTTTCTAACACGATGATTTAAAAGAAATTGGACATGCAAATAAGTTTCTAAACTACACATAGATTATTAAAATAATTACCAGGAACAAGAACAACAAGAAGGACACATATTGCAAATTTCTGGGGACAAAAAGGATTAAAACCAAGTAGAATAATCCCAAAGAAATGGGGATTTCGCTATCCTATAGCCCTACTTCCTACAGCACCATAGGTGAGTCCATGGCAAACACTATTTTGCACCACACAGTCTCTCCAACAGGCTTGAGCTCCCTCATCCACTAGACTTGCCTGCCCATCAGTCTCAGAATTGAACCTTTCCTCATGATCAGTCTTCTAGGCTCTCAGAAAGCAAAGATGCAAAGAGTGCTTGGAAAAGAGGTACCTCCCAACCACAGGTCAACTGATGAAAAAGCTAATGGTAAAAACGTGACTGTTATGACAAACACGCACATGCCTCAAGACCCAACTACTTCTGCCTTTCAAAGTTTGCTTGGCTGGAAAAATTCACCCAGTGTCTATAAAACCAACTGTGTACTTGCAGTCCAAGTCAGTTTGCATTATTAGAGGATTTAGAACAACTTTAATCACGGCAAATTCTTCTTTGCATTTTTAAGTGAAAGAAGATTGAGCTAAATCATTATCTGGTATGAGTCAGTGCTGTTAAATTTTAAAAAAATTAAACCAAGCAGATTTCAAAGGCTTAATATTACAGTATTTGGCTATTCATGACTAAGCCTCCGGGCATGAGAAAGAATCCTGAAATTGTTTAACACAAGCAGTAGGGCACAGTAGGTAATAACCAAGTTCTTCAACCAGAAAGTCTCGTTGAGAATCTCGCCGAGTAGAAAAGCAATTGTGAACGTTTGCTTCCTTCTCTGCAGACCCTGTGCATCTGCCCCTCTATATTTTCTAGGTGTATGACTACAAGAATTCAGCAGAAGCAGAGCTACAGGCCATTTCTAGAATTAAGTATACTGTTGTTCATTTCAGATGTATAATAGTGCAATCATCATCACAGTAAGGGAGCAGAAAAGTGAAAGCTACATTTATTTAATTTGTATTTTCAGAAACATCATGGATTTCTTCAACTATATAGAGTGGTTAAAGGATAAGTTCTGTATTACCAGCTTAAAGCAGTGCTATTTAAGGTGACTCTATGTAACAACTGCAAATATCTAAAGTCACTTTATGCCCAGCAGGTGAGAAATATCTACCATGACAGTATTCAAACACAGTATATTTTCATCCTTCAAGATACTAATAAATTCAAACACTGTTTTTTTAAGCCACTCCAGTCTTCAGTTTCTGTAAGTCAATCCCCAGCAAACCTGCAAAACTGAAGGAAAATGTAGCAAACTTCCTATGAGCACATCAGTTCCTCTTCTTTCAGTATCAAGAAAATTAAAAGAAATAGTCGAGGCACAGGTGATTTTTATGCAGAAGTATAGAATTATTTAAAATAAGTATATTTAAACTTCAATACTTCCTTTAACTTCTTTAAAAAAAGACATACATCTTAGGTCTATGATCACAGTCATAGATCACAGTCACTGTAGTCTACTGGACTGCAGGTTTTTTTCCCCAAGATGAATAAAGAAATTGGTTCACCGAACTCACCAAGTCCACTTTATACTGCCATTTCACGTAGTCCATTTTTAATCAAAGCAAAGTACAAACTCATGCTTCAAGGCAGCCTAAAAGCAGCCTGCCATGCTCAACAGTAAACTATTTCTTCAGTGAAGACAGCTTCAGTGAACCCAGTAACGCAGAGAAGAGTCCGTCCAGCTGAACCGACACGAACGTTGCACACAGAACTTACATGTAAGTGCACGGGCAACAAGCTTCTGAGGGTAAGTCCAGACTGCAAGAGCTTGTGCTTGAAACTAGTTTTATAGCTATGGTTATTGTTTCTGTTAAGAGGCACTGCATAAATATGGAGTTTATCATCTAATGCACTTAATATTTCTCAGCTGAGGACTATTGCAGCTTTACCCTATGTCTAGGTGTGATTATACTTTGGTTTGCTTTACAACAGTAACATTGCACTAGCAATACAGCTGATACTAAAGAGAAGGCTGAAAACACGGCAGACCGGAGGACTGAAAAAACCAAGCTGCTCCTTTACTTCTTTTCATGCTTTTTGGTTAATTTCCCTCGTTCTAGCTGGAGGCTCGTACCGCTGTTTGCTCGCTTCTCCTTTTGCTGACTCTCCTGGGAAACTTGCTGCACTGCCCGGAGGATCGCAGTCTGCACAATCTGCTTGCTGGCGTTCTGCAGCTTCACTTCATCTTGCTCCGTCCCCGGCTTCTCGCCTGCCAGAACCGAACGACAAAGGAAGGAAACTAAACTTTTGTGGATACTCTGTGAACACCTGAAGGACAGAAAAAGAGGAGGAAAAAATCCCCAAACCCACAGATTGCTTGGGAACAATTTATTACACAGGAAATCTGCTAATACAGAAGATGATGAAGTAGGATGGAAGGTGCCCCTGCGTGCTCGGTGCTACGGGACTGAAGGAAGAGGAAGACTTTGAGCCACAGAGCTCAGCTACCCACCTCCCAGCTCTGGGGCAGCTGTGTCTTCACAGCCCAAACAAGCCCAGCTGCAGTTTGCAGCAAGACAGGCTGTGAATCACATCCTTTTTGACTTGAGCTGTGCTTCTGGATGGGGAATTGGACTTGATTTCGCAAGCCTGACATGTTCTCCCTCACCGCCGCACAGAGAAGCCGTTTCATTAGCATCTCTATTTACTTTTACTTCAGATGAAAAGCCTCATCCATCAAATCCCAACTGACTTCAAGATACAAAATATTGTTAATTGTCAGTTTATTAATCCTTAGATATAATTGCAAAAATATGTAGAAATCTTTTAAAAATGCTCAGATTGCTATAGGCAAAACAGAAAAAAAACCAACACCCCCCCCCAATATTGTCTATAGCAACCTGACAAATACGTATTTCTTCTATGACATTTCCTTGTTTTGCCAAAGTGCTAAAATCTGGAGAACAAAGCAACGTAGTGTGACTCCTGACATTTGGTAATGAAGAAGAGTAATTTATGTCAAGAAGTTTCTCATTGGAAGTATTTTGACTTCTAACACAAATGGTGATTTGGACAATAAAAAATGCTGCGTAATGTTCAAAATCGATGTCGATATAAAAAAACCCCACCACTCTGAATTAAGGTCACGTACACCTTTTGGCATTTAGAAAAATGTAAATTAGGTCACTAGTTGAAGTGCTTAGGCTAGGTGCTTATTTACACCACTAGATTTGATTTTAAAGGTTTTCAAGATACCCATCTCAGTTCTTTCTTAATTGACTGTTGTGCTCAAGTACTTCATTAAACAGGATTTGTATTCTACCATCTGTTTTAACACCATACATTAATAATTACATCCCGTGAGAAATAAAACAAAGTGATTTAAAGGTCAGCTGCTTTTATGAGAGGTCCACATCTGGAATTGTGATAAATTCCCAATGAATTTTTTTACAAGGAAATTTAAGATAGAGACAAAAAGTAGAATCACTTGTTTACCTTAAGGAAGACACTACTGAGATGGGATATGCTTGAGGGAAAAGACAAGGTCCTGCAGCTGGGTCAAGGTAACCCCCAATATCAATGCAGACTGGGTGTTGAATGTATTGAGAGCTTTGTGGAGAAGGACTTGGGGATACTGGTCAATCAGAAAATCACTGGAATTGTTGAAGGCCAGGCTGGATGTGGCTTTGAGTAACCTGGTCTAGTGGAAGGTGTCCCTGCCCATGGCAGGGGGGTTGGAACTAGATGATCATTAAGGTCCCTTCCAACCCAAACCATTCTGTGATTCTATGATTCTGTGGTTCTGTGAGCCCAAAACAGCCACCAGCAAAATGACCAAATCTTATTCTATGAGAAAGAAATAATTCATTAGCTCCCATGTTCCTCTGAAAGGACTGAAAAAAATATACTTATTTCTATCATGTTCATATTATACATGTTCTGGCTAAAAGTAAAATACCAATGTGATTTAATTCTACTGAAATTGAATAATTAACATCCCCCACGCCCCACAACTGTACTGGGATGACCGTTTGTCTACAATTAAGAGATTAAACCCATGAAAACATATAAAACATGTTTTAAGATGGAAAAAGCTGACTGAATGGAATCACTTGAACTCTTGGCACAACCAGCCTCCCTGATTCAGTTTGTTCCAATCCTCAGCACTTGAAACAGTGTTTTTTTGGATAAAATTCAATGGTACTTAACAGTAAAGTACAAATATTTCTTTATTACTCAAATATGAACTCACTTTGTGTTACACAAGGAATTAGTCTTGCTGGGCTGGAAAAGATCAGCCAACTCAGCTGATCTTCAGAAGATAACGTACTAACAAAAGCACGGATAAACATGAAACTGTAAAGGGAAATGAGTGTACTGGAATGGACTACAAGGTTACATGAAATGTGAAAAATTTGCCAACCCCTATAGCTATAAATCACCCCGAATTTATTGTTAAAACATACTTCATTAAGCGCAAAAAAGCTGTTGAAAATTACTCATATTTTTTCCCTTAGGGATGCTTCATTATTTAGTCAGTTCTTGCCACTTAATCTACAAAATCTGAACTTCAAATATTTTTACATCAGGAAGGTCAGCCACAGCAACACCCAGTAAAAAAAAAGAACAGTTTTCCAGTAAATGTCTACTTGTGTTTTTCAGTTGTTTATGGTAGAGCAAAGCCTGCCCTGAAAGCACCACTCAGATCAGCGGGACCTCGATTAAGTTTGCCCAGCTCTAAATCATTAGATGATTCTTTCATTTGCTGAGAAAACAAACCAAGAACAGAGAACCCAAAACCTCTGGACTGGTTTTGCCCTGCCTCTGATGGTTTAGGTATGCACAGAAAGGAAATAAGACAGCTCGAAGTTAACAATTTTATATCTGTGTGCCACAGTTCAGGTGGTAGGAACCCAGGTAACGACAGTTAACTAGCTTTGGACACGGAGGGAGTCAAAGATGTTGGCCTGGGGTCATGTGACCCACGAGACCATTGGCAGCTTATGCTCACCATCTAAACCAGAAAGCAACACTGAAAATCATAGCCCTTTTTGAGGGGGATACCTGACACTGTGCAGAGGTCTGAGCCTGCACTGGGACCATTATGTGTAAGAGCTGGACTGTCAGCCAGGATCCAGACATGTCGAGCAGTCAGACACAAACCTCCAGCTCCCCTGGGCGTGCAGTGTCCATCACAGCTGGCCTATCTGGACATGATCCTGGGCAAATGGTTCTGGGTGACCCTGCTTGAGCAGGAGTTGGACAAGAGGTGCTTTAGAGGTCTCTTTTGACCTCAACCTTCTACATTCCTGTGATTCTAGGTGGTGAGGCTCCCATAAAACCCAACTTTTCCACTTCCAGAAAGAGTAAACAGCGGTCTCTGGAAAAGTATCCCCACTGCGTCCTCTTCTTTCAATTATTCATTTCAAAGAAAGCAGTTAGCACAAAGCTGTTCTCTGAGGAGCTCATGTATTTATTGATATGCTGGACCTGCTCTGAGCAAGGAGAGAGGGATTGACTAAGGAAAGCAGAGATGAGTCATGCAAGGATCCCAAAGGGGCTGAGCTGGAACACATCTATCAAACTGCTCCACCTTGCTGAAGTACAGACTGCTGTGGACATAAACAAAGGCAGAAATTTGAGTGCCTGTAGAATTTATCAGGCATTTTAAGAACTGCCTATTTTCAATCAAGTGAAGCAGACATCACTCCTGTTACCTAAGTATTTGGTGTTTAGCTAATCAAAATAAGAGTTACTAGGGTGATAAGATACAACTAATGTTTTTTTCCTATGATTTTTTAAAGATTTAAAGAATAACTAGTTTAATTAAAATACCATGATAAAAGGTCACTTTAAGTAACTGCTGGGCAAAACTTGCAGGACAGCAGAAACACCATTCTGCCTACTAATTATCCTTGTCTAATGACTACTTTTTTTCTCTTGATGTCACAAAATCTATTCTACTTATTCTCTATATTTAAATGATCACCTGCATTACACAGGAACCCAGAACCCTCATTCTGTAAATAGAGAACTGAAAAATCCAGGTTAAGTGATGTTAAATGTAAGGCAACAAATTTATCATTAAGACATGATAATGACTCTTTAGCACATTTTTATTACCTTATCTTCCACTTGCTAAGTTTTATGCGAACTAACATAGCAGAGGAAAAGTAATCTGCAAAGCCTAGCCTGGTTCTGAAATCTATAGTTTGAGAGATTCCAAAAAAATCAAGATTTTTTGAATCAGTCACATATTCCACTTTCCTCTAAAACTAGTGCCATATATCAGTACCTTGAAATTCCCTTGGCTCACCTGAAGATGTTCTCCATGAAGGAAAATATGCTAGCAGTTTGGAAAAAGAATAAAAGCATTTGAAATAGATTCAAAATGTTCATTTCAATTACTATAACTAATACTAGTTTAAGTCCAAGAACATCTTGTGTGGGACGTTTTACACTCTCTGTGACCACAGAATCACTAAGTTTGGACCTATCAGATCATCCAGTCCAACCACTAACCCAACACTACCATACCCACTACTAGACCGTGTCCTCAACGCCAGCTCTACCCTTTCCTTGACCACCTCCAGCGATGGTGCCTCTACCACTTCCCTGGGCAGCCTGTTCCAATGCCTGACCGCTCTCTCAGTAAAGACGTTTTTCCTAAGACCTAATCTAAACCTCCCCTGATGCAACTTGAGGCCGTTTCCTCTTGTCCTGTCACCAGTTACCCGGGAGAACAGACCAGCACCCACCTCCCTACAACCTCCTTTCAGGTAGCTGTAGAGACAGCTGTAGCTGTCTCCCCTCAGCCTCCTTTTCCTC